TACATTTGCATGAATAGACAAGAGTGGGACAAAGATCACACACACACACACACACACACACACACACACACACACACACACACACTCACACACACAAACACACACAAACACACACGCACATGTAAAATATATAGTATGTGTCTAACTTAATTGATAATCTAATTCTAGAAGAGTAATTAACACACAACAACACGAAAAAGAAAGAACTGTCTGACATAGTACCGTAACGTAATGATAAACAACAGCGCCTTGGATCGAAGCCAGAGCCACCAGTCCTGATCAAGAACACATCCCAGTGAAACTAACCTTAAGACCCTGCATGGGCATTGCACGGACAGGACCTGCCACGGTTGAGGCCTGGGATAACATCTAACTTGACAATGACAATGATCATGATCATGATAATGACAATGACAATGACAATGACAATAACAATGATAATGACAATGACAATGACAATCTTTATTCATCTCGCCGGGGAGAAATTGGTCTTGGTCGTTTCCAATGGCAGTGGATGTTACAAAGGTTAGGTCTTACTACTTAGCCAGAAACATTGTACCTAAAATTGAACGATTGTGGATGGTAAGGAGGCGCCCGAGGTAGGAGTTGCATCTTTTCTCATCCTTAGTTGTTTCCGTCTGCCTTTCTTATTGGATGGTTAGGGGGCGTCTATGATAGGTTCTATTTTTTCGCTTTTCCTTTTGTTGTTTCTGATAGTCTTCTTTACTTTTTCTCGGCAGTAAACGACCGGTATCATAATACTCTTTACTCAAACAAAACAGATCTCAATGGTGATGTCCCAAAACCCAAAACAGTTGACGACAAGTCCCAGCTAATCACCGACGGTAGCCTGCCGGACAAATATGACGGTGGGGCAAGCAGCCACAGTAGTCAGGATGAGGACAATGCTGGAGGCAAGGAACAAGAGAAAAAAAAGAATCGTGTCGGATTCCTGAAAATGGTAGGCCTACGTAAAAAGAAATATCTATCTAAGAAATGGTAGGCCTGTGTGAAAACCGTATCTATCTATCTATCTATCTATCTATCTATCTATCTATCTATCTATCTATCTATTGATGCCACCTTAAAGTTAGTTCAGTAGTCTTTCTATTGAGAAAATAAATACCCATCTAACTTGAATATATAAGTCGAGATATTTCTGATTGAAGGAGGTGGGGGTAGCCTGATATCAGAGGAAAAATTGATAAGAAATAACCGCCAGAGTTTGGTGACTTTGAAAGCTTGAGAGTCTTTGGAAACTACAAATATACATTTTTGTGCCGTTGTGCCTTTGATCAACGGGTTTCTGAAAAATCCATGGAGAAATATGTTTTGAAATGGACATGAAAGGTGTTGAGAAAAAATCGATAAAAATTTCGGAATAATGTCGCTATCGCCACAGATACAATAATAAGCAACCGTTGCTTAATGTTGAACCTAATTCAAGAACCAGAGAAACGAATTTTAAAAAAGCTAAGGAAACGATCGAATTAGTCTTGGACTACATTAGAAGCAGGGTAGTGTTTTCTTTCAGGGAACGAGTCTCTCCCCTCCCCCTCCCCCTCCAACTTCCGCCCCAACTTACCAATGAGCTCCCCCCTCCACCCATTACGTTATACCGTGGTTTTGTCCTGATGGCAATGAATTCTTTACACAATTATGCTGATTCTTAGACGGAAAAAGGATCTCAGGAGTTCATTTTTCCTATTATGGGTTAGTTAATCCTACATGTCACCATAACCAAACACTTCAAATTTTCTTTCGAGCTCATAAATCTATGGAGTTGTCTGGAGTAACAGAGCAGTTGATACAATAGAAATTTTCCCCTTACAGCCAACATAGGACTTTATAGGTTTAAGTCGAGAAGCTTTACAATACTGCCATAATTTATTACTTCTCCTAACTTAGTTGTTGTCTGTCTGTCTGTCTGTCTGTCTGACTGTCTGTCTGTCTGTCTGTCTGTCTGTCTGTCTGTCTGTCTGTCTGTCTGTCTGTCTCTGCCTACCTGTCTGTCTGCCTGTCCTTCTGTCTGTCTGTCTGTCTGTTAGTCTGTCTGTCTGTTCCTGCTATACGCCTATTTTTATTAATATGCAATAACCAGGAATGTCGGCCAGTGCAACTCCTGTTCCTCAAAAGTCCAAGAACGACAACTGAACGTCACCATACACATTCTCTGTCTCCAGTACAGATTCGCCGACAAGTTGGACGTATTTCTTTTAATTGTGGGCAGTTTGTGCGCTCTTTTAAACGGCGCTGCCTGGCCGGCTGTTATGATCATCTTTGGGGACACAATCCAGCTTTTCGTCGACCAAGCAAAGTATGAGCATTTACTTTCTTTAGTTCCTGACTTCCTGGCTTCCATTGGTCAAAGCCGAGAAAGCGCCAGGACAAACCCACAACGCATAAGGTGAGAACAAAAGACTCGGAATACATTGGCGCTTTTTATTTTTTCGATTGGTTTCTTTTTCTTTTTTTAAATGTTGGTGTTTTTACGCCCCCATTGAAAACCTTTAGATCATTTAGTAGCGGGCTTCTGACTCTGTCTGTACGGGCCTATCCGGGATGAGAGGGATATAGCATCCCAGTAGAAAAACTGACATACACTGTACTCAATAAACGTTCCTTCTATCCCGAGAATTCAACTCGGATCTCCTGTGGATAAAAGCGAATCGCCTAACCACTACACCACAGACGCCGCTCTTGCTTTGTTCTGACATATTTTCTTTCAGTTTGATGTGGAATGATTTTTCGATTAGCTTTTGTTTCTCTACATGTTGTTTGGTTTGATATGATTCACTTTCATCATAAATGAAAACCACTGGACGCATATATAATATAGGTTGTTTTGAAGACGTATCTCTCGGTTCTCTCAGAAGAGGAGGAACTCGGCAAAAGAAGTAGAAGAAGAAGAAGAAGAAGAAGAAGGAGAAGAAGAAGAAGAAGAAGGAGAAGAAGAAGAAGGAGGAGAAGAAGAAGGAGGAGGAGAAGAAGAAGGAGGAGGAGAAGAAGAAGGAGGAGGAGAAGAAGAAGGAGGAGAAGAAGAAGAAGAAGAAGGAGGAGAAGAAGAAGAAGGAGAAGAAGAAGGAGGAGAAGAAGAAGAAGGAGGAGAAGAAGGAGAAGAAGAAGGAGAAGAAGAAGGAGAAGAAGGAGAAGAAGAAAAAGAAAAAGGAGAAGAAGAAGAAGGAGGAGGAGGAGGAGGAGGAGAAGGA